GGGGGTGAGGGGGCAGGATGGGGTGCAGGGATGAGTGGGGGTCCAGGCACACGCAGGGCAGCGGCTGGAGCAGGGGAGCCAAGGCTGAGGGATGGGATGGGGCATCCCCAGGACCCTCTCGCCCTGGGGTGCTCTTGGGCTGGGGGGGCAATGCCCCTGAGCGCAGCCAGCACCGCGGGCGGGCAGGAGGCAGCGGGGGGGGACATCACATATGGCTGGCGGTGGCTGAAATGGGTTTTTTTTGGGCTTTTTATGGGCCAGGGTCTCCTCTAGCACCAATTTCACGTTGTCGCTGCCAGGGCTTTCCAGCCCTGTGGGCACTGGCAGCCCCTCAGGTCGACAGCCCCGTTACACCAGCAGTCAGGGTTTCAGGGCTGGCGGAGATACAGCTTCATCTCCCCGCGCTGCACTAAGGGCTGATTTCCTCCGGGATATGGCTGTGCCAATTAATCAGGACCCCTGGGCTTGGCGCGGGTGCGGGGGGGCCAGGGCTGTGCCCTCCTTCCAGATGTTCAGGCGTGGGGTGGGACGAGGACAGCTCGTGGACCTCAGCTTTCCCACGTGCCGTAATTCCTCCACTGAGCGGTGAAGGGGAGCTCTCCTGGCACGGCCCTGCTCCAGCACACGCTCTCCCTTCTGCACCCTCCTCCTCCTCTTCCTCCCAGCCAGGGACATGCTCGGCTCCATCTCTCTCCGACCAACTGCCAGACCTGCGTCTGGCCGCAGAGGCGGTGGCGGGAGCTGCCCCCGTGATCCTGGGGGGACAAAGCTCGTGTCTATGCGGGGCGGCTGCTGGGGTGCTGGCGGCCACGGGCACGGTTGGGTCGCCAAGGGCACCTTTGGGAGGTGACAGCCCCGTGGCTGTGACCCTGCGGCATCCTGCGTTGGTGCTCCCGATCCGCTCCAGTGCAAAGGTACCGGGGCAGCTCAGGGGTCCCGAGCCCCCATGGCGGTAGCTGCCTGGTCATAGCACGCACCTCTCCGAGGAGAGCAGCTACTGTGCGTCTCCGCCGGCACGCCGCTCCTTGCTCCATTTCAGCATTTCGTCGGCAGTAGGTTTTTTTCTTTTAATCCCATGAAGGCAGCAGGCGCACCGTGCTCCACTGGCCCGTGGGATATCCCACCTGCCGTGAAGTTACGTCTGCAGACAGCACAGGAGCCCGATCCGCAGCTTGCTCAGGAGGGTGTAGCCTCCCCAACCCTGGTGATACCATCCAGGTTTACACCTCGGTGAGGCTCAGGATCTGGCCAGCAGCTCACCACTTCCCCTGGTGCCTCTCTGGCTTCCCTCCTCTTGTTCTTGCTCCAGATTCAGAAGCCTGCAGGCGAAACACAGCCAGAGGAGGGATGCTCAGCTGGGCAGGTCTGATCCCTGCTGTGCTTTGCAGCGGGGGTTTCCTAATTTGCACCGCGGAGGGGCCAGCCTGGTGCCCGCTCTCACGGGGATGCCTCCTCTGCTCCTCTGGCAGTGCTGGGTGCAGCCCTGGACGCTGTGTGCCGAGGGAAACGGTCGCAGCATGAGGACGGGCTGAGCTAAGCTGAGCTCTCCGTGGGGCTGCTCGAGGCAGAGGGGGCTGGGAGCACCCCGTGCTAAAAGTGATCCTTTCTGCAAAGCCCGCTCGATTCCCCAAACTTGCTGGCACCCTGACACCGTTTC